CAGTATTACAGGAGTTTGTCAGATACACCAATAAGGACATTGAACAAATCATCAAGAAAGAAATGTCTGGGGACGTGAAAAACTCCTTCTATGCCCTAGGTAATTACTCATATATTTGAGTATGTGTTTGTGTATATATATAGATATATATGTCTATATATGTATGTTTACCTATATATGTATATATGTATTGTATATGAATAAATACATATACATATATTCACATATATACATATATAATTTAAATAAATATATAAAATAAATTTAAACTCTGCACATATGACTATATATATAAATATATATACATACAAACATAAATATATATAAATATATAAATTAATTTATTTTTGCTTTGCAGTTCGCAGCGTCAAGAACCAGCCTTCTTATTTCGCTGACCGTTTGTACAAAGCCATGAAGGTATGTGTCGTATGTTTTTATCGTTGACTGTAGATCAACTCTGCTTGTTGCTCAAGGGCTGGCTGGACCAGGACTATTGTAGCTAACGTTAGCTAGCTGTTTTTCATTGAGATGATATTGTAGTTTTTTTAGGTGCTGCAGTGATAAGAAAACTTCTTGTAGCATAATTTGCACACTGAGCTGTGCTCTTAGGCTAGCTGCCTTCGAGGCGTCAAAAATATCAACCTTTGGTCCAAGTCGTCGAGCAAATTTGGTTCTCGACTTCTATCACTGTTCACTAAATTTTTTTTTTTGTCCACTGCAAAACACTTAATGTCACCTGTGTATCTTCTTCTCTCTGCTTGTAGACGAACTTTAGATACAGTACTGCCACCTAGTGGGCAAAGGGGGTGGTGTTAGGTTCACGTTTTTCCTTTCATTAACAAATCTATTGTCCCCCACCTCCGTCCCCCCACTGCAGGGTCTCGGCACAGATGACAGAGCACTGATTCGCATCATGGTCTCCCGTAGCGAGATTGACCTTTTCAACATTCGCAAAGAGTTCAAGGAAACACATGACGTCTCGCTCCACGAATTCATCCAGGTAGAAACTCTGATCGTAAGTCACGTATTTGTCCGCTAACACTCTTTGTTCGCTTCACTTTTCTTGCGTTCGCTCGTCACTTGCTTCTCCGTGGAATTTTTCCTCTTCCTCTTAGCTAACTCTCTTCACTGAGTTTATGTTTTCGGAGTGTGTGTGCGTGTGCGTGTGTGTGTGTGTGTGTGTGTTCCGTTATCTCTGTGGTGGGGTTCTATAATCTATAACTTCCTGTGGTGAACTATGGGTCTGTAACCACGGCATTGCTCTAGGAATTTCCCTTGTGTTTAACTTCCTCTCTGTATCCGCCGTGTGATTGGTCGACCGCTGCAGGCGCAGGAAGTACATAGAAACGGTTATAATGTGCAAATGAAAGCACCGTGACATCAATACGACATAAACAAGTAATGCGTCCTGAATTGGGTTCAAACTGGGTAACATCTACATTTTTAAAAATGTTTTTTTATCTTTTTTTAAAATTATTTTTGATACTCTCACTTAAATAATTTTTTTTTTCAAAGAGAGACCTGAACAAGAAAGCAGCAGAATCATGTACTGTTCACATCTTTTTTTTTTTCAAAGAGAGACAAGAATGGCAGCAGAATCATGTACTGTTCACATCACAAACAAGAGAATGTGGATTTATGAAAAAAAATACTATAGTATAGAAAGTATATGAATTATTAATAGTAAATAAATTTGATAATAAAACATGATTATTTATTATTATCATCTATAACAGTAGTAGAGTGGTATTAAACTGATATACTCATAATAAAAAAAATTAAAAATAATTATTTTAAAAAGTACCACTACGTATAATAATAATAAATGTGGTGTTATTTTATTAAATGTATTTTTTATTGTATTATTATGTTATTAAATAGTAATGAAGAACCATAGGTCATTTTTCATTCAGGAACAAACCACAAAGTCATTTGTTGCTGCTAAAGTAAACTACTTCCTGGTAGTTTACTCAGTCATTAACTATTCTGAGACCAAGTTCAACCAGCTGCTTCTCAGTATTGTTTCATATATACAGTCTAAATGCTGCCGTGTCGGCCAGGCCGCTGTTGTCAAAGAGATCTGAATCTCACTAAGACGTTTTACCTGGTTAACTAAAGATTATTGAAGAATATCACAGAACGTTCCGTCTTATCTCTCACCTCCCATGTGTCCGTGTAATTCCCCGAATGAGGAAGTAATACTTAAAAAAACACAACCTTACATCTATACAATAATAATGACTTGACAGATGAATATCAGTTCCAGTATCAGCTGATTGTCACCGTGACTCACTGGTTTATCTTAGGTGACTCAGTCCCATCACCATAGTTCTGATACTCATATTGATAATAAATGTACCAAAAAAAGTCAAAGTTTTCTCATTTCTGTGTGTTCTTTCATCTTCTTTGTCCAGGGTGACACCTCGGGAGACTACCGTAAGACGCTGCTGATTCTCTGCGGAGGTGAAGACTAATCTGGATTCTGAAGTCCAAAAGATAATCAACATTTAACTGTGACAGTGAACATCAGCGTCTACTCTTCTCAGCCAAAACTACTGTGTGACCTCCTCGCCCTCTCTGCGCTCACATCGTACTCACTGATGTTTGTTTTTCATGTATAATTCAAGATATACATATTTCCCACTACCCAAGCAGTGCCTTTTAAGTTACCAAATAAATATCTATCAATAACACAGCGACGTAGTCAATGTCCTCTCTGTTAATGTCTGTCGTTAAATTTAAATTTATATTAAAAACATTTTTTACTCCTTTAACTCATAAATCATATTAAATACTTGTATATTTCTGCTCATTTAGTCCAAAAAAAATAAAACAAAAGAACTGCCTGTGTGTGACATGGTGTGCTGTGGTTAAGGCTGAAGTGTGGAAACACAGCTGTCTGCTCTTGTCAGTGTCTCAGTTCACTGCATCCGTGTGTGTGCAGCTGTTGTCAGGCCATCTTTGAGTTAAAAGAGGAAAGAAGAAAAAAGAAAAAAAAAGGACATATGTGGTGAGGAAATCCCCTGCAGAGGGCCAAAAATCCAAGGCAACACAATGAGCCTGCAGCAGTCATCAACACACCCGGCTTTAAAGGCCTCCATTGGCCGACAGTTATAAAAAGACAGAAAAGAAAAGAAAAAAATAGACGTTGATGAATTTAGCATCGGTACATGGAAGTACTGCACTTGGTTCTTGTTGTTATTTTCATCACCGCTCACAGTCGCACCGTGTTTTGATCATGCAAATGTCACAGGTCATTTGCACACGTCTCAGTCTGTGCTCCTGTCTGTGAGGCCTCCTGTCGTCGCTCACATCTACAGACATGGATCAGGATACAAAAATAACACCGGATTATTATCCTATTTTCATATGGTGTCTGTGTGTGTGTGTCTGTGTCTGTGTGTGTGTGGCAGGCTGCACACAGCTGGACACACACACCAGGTTCTGTTCTGTATAAATTTACAGTACAGGCCTTTTTGCTGGGTTATGGGAATTCCCCGCGTCGCACAGTGAAATTGCTCCCCCTCGATTCACCAGTTTCCTTAAAAAGTTCCTCTCCGACACGAGCTGTGTGTGGGTGAGTTGTTGTTTATTTGTCTTAACATCTGTTGTGCGGTAAAAGACAATATAAACTGTCATCTTGTTATTTTGGTGGCGTTTTATTCTTCTTTAAGTTTAAGGCTTGTAGAATGAGTGTTGATTTTTTTTATTTGGTTTGTTGCTGTTTGGAAGAATTCATGTCGACTGTAGCGCCGCAAGGGGGGTAATATTTGAATAGAATGGTAGTCAGTTTAATAATGATATAATTAACTGTTTATTAACACAAAAACTGTATATTTTTTATTATTGTCTTTATTTGTGTGAGGGCAGAACTAGTAATATAACAATTATAATTACTACATTTTCATTATAAAGATTTATAAAGATTTATTTATTTTGTTATTATTATTACTACTACTACTACTACTAATAATAATAATATATTATATAATAATAATAATAAAAAATATTATTATTTTAACTGAGCCAAATGAAGGAGTTGTTACCCGTGTTTATCATATGTGATAGAACAACCCATGACCAGGTTTGCATTCACATTAACATTATTTCTAATCTGTACATTATGAACTTTACTGTAGTGTCTATTTATACTCCTAAAAATAATATTTTTTATGAGTTTATTTCATCCATAAAAACCCAAACAAACTGTTCTGACAGTCCCGTTCAGGGTGTTCTTTATTTAAGGACATGAGACAAAAGAATATTTCCAGTCCTGTGGCACCGAGCCCATGGTTTACAGCTCCTGGTTTGAACTGTGGAGTTTTTAAATAGTACACAAAGGAAAAAACAAGTGCAAAAATTTCCTGTCATACAGGACTGGGTCAACTGGGGTCAACGTGATCTGTACCTTCAGACTCATTTCAACTGGGATGACGTACATTAAATCTATTTTAATACGTTGATTCTCTAGATCAGACAAACACGTAGGTGGGTGAATAATAAGATTGTGATTATTATTATTGAAGCGTATAAAAATTGGTTGAATGTCATGGAAACAGATGGAAGTTGACAGCAATACTGTTGTTGCCATATGAAAAACAAAGGGTTAAAACAGACAACAAGGAGCAAACTAGTTCATAGTTGCTACCATAACTAGGGAATGTCGGTAACAGGACTGAATGTTCTGGTCTGAGTTTGTGCAAACTGTATGAAAATGTAAGAAAAAATATGATTTTTCAAACATCTTTACTACCACACTATTTGACTTTTCTTTTTTACTTTATAAGTTGTAATAAGGTCCATTATGGTCCATGAGAACCAGTCAGAAATGTCATGGATGTGTGCTGTGGTTCAGTCAGTCAATCATCTCAATCACATTAAACAGGAATTGTCTTTAGAGCCACTGCATCACATCACGGATCACTTACCGTTTTATATCCACAAGATGTCACTATTGAGCTTGTATCCGTTTGTTTATTTCCAGGGCTGACGGTCACCAAATAATAACAAAAAGAACAAATTATATTTAAAGCCACGGTACTAACACACTTACATTTGTAATGCGGGGAGTTTTATTTTATTTTATTTTTTGGGTTTTTCCGGTACTATTTTGCTTTTTATCATAGCTTCAACATAGAATTTGAACTTGGAGAAAAACAATGGCTTCCTGTTCTCATACACAGTTATCGCAGTGCAGTGGTATTATAGTATTCACCTATTCAACCACTAATGAGTGATGTTCGATACAAATAAGAAACGCACGCAATAACAGACGCATGAGAGGAGACAGCCAATCACAGAGAGCCAATCGTGGTGGCCATATGTCGCATCTACACACTCTTGACAATGTTATAACAATTTAATATAAATACACATGATTTAAAAGATTTACATCTTCAATCTCACTTTAAATTAGGTTAAACGATTTATGTGACCTGATTTAATATTCAACACAGTCAAAAAGGACAAACCTTTGAGTTGCATTACTGCCACCTGCTGGCTCTATTTTCCACGTAGAAGTAACTCAATGACTTGCATGGAAAAGGAAAAAATGCGACAAAGGCAGGGGCAGGGTAGAGTCCCAGGTAAATTTTTAGGTTTGGGCCTGGAGGTGGAAACATGAGGACAGTCCCTTAAAATGAATCCCCTCCGCTTACCGCTGCCAGGACCATTATTAATTAAAAAAAAAAAAGTTGGTACGTGGTCGTATAAAAAGCTACGTTTCTTGATTTATCACAGGACTCCATATAAGGAGAGGTAAAAATAAATAAAAAATTAGATGTCATTGATTCAATAATTAATAATATTTTGATCCAAGCATAAACAGATGTTATGGATGGGTTTAAAACTAGAACTATCAAAAAGCTTCAATAATGTTGACAGTTTTAACAATAAAAGGATCTAAGCTGGGAGACGTGTCGTAACATAAAATCAGACATCTTTGAAAATTACATCTGTTTTAGAACTTCTTCAACCATTAAATGTAAATGAATTAAGAGTTTATGTGATTTCTTTCTTTCTTTCTTTTTTTTTTTTTTGTTGGACTCTAACCCTTTAACCTACACTTAAAACGCTTTGTGTAACTTGACACAGCAACTGTCTTCCTGTTCAAGGGAAAACATGTGATGTAATTACAGAAACCCCCAAAGGCCCCTCTCTAAATTTATCAATGAGGCAAGGTGTCAATGAGTGGAATCACTGGGGTTTGTCCCACAGCTAAGACCTATTAAAATAAATGAAAATACATGCATTTATTATTTGGCAAAAAAAAAAAAGTTTCAAAAAGAAAAGAAACAACAAATGTATTTATTAATGAATTATCTTTTATATATATATATATATATTTATATATCCATCTCCAAGTGTATGATGATCATGAAGGCGATTTTTTATGTAGTGTATTTATTCTATTATGTATTTAATTAATTCATTACTTAAATAATTAATTATGTCCTACTTTGACATAACAACATATATACCTATCACCTTTTCGGTTCTTTATGGCCACACATTGACGTTCCCACAGACATATTTCAAACTTATGTGCATCTTAGCCGCGTTAAAGCAGTTCTAGTGAACATTTATATATAAGTGCAGCTCTGGACTCCTATGTTTACATTCCACTCACTGGCTGTGGCTGGAGTCCCGCTGACAGGGAGCTGTGCGCTGATTGGTCGGCGTCCCTGTCACTCTGCGCTGTTTACATCAAACGTGGCCGAGGTGGAATTTCCCAGGTTACAATATAGAGCAGCAGAGCACTTCCGCAATCAGAGACGAGAGGCCACTGCGAGCTGAAGGTACCCAGCTTTCACACACTCTTCTTTGTTCTATGCTCCGTCTTGTCACCGGCTTTTCCAACCGAATCGATAAAGATCAGTTTATCGGCTGAAAGGGAGAAAAGTGGCGGCGTCTTCCCGCGGCACTGTCATTTTAGTCTCAGCTAGCCCACTGCTAACCAGGAGGTTGCTAACAATTTGCATGACAACAGCGAAAACTAATATTAGCCTTCTTCAGCCAATCAAGGTAGATATCATATGCTGCTCTGTGCTGTATTTAAAACATCGCCTGTTGGCAGGTTTCACCTCATATTAACTCTTATTTCCCCCCAGCTTTTACTCCCTTTTCACTCCGCTGTCGTAATATGAACGCTGTAGTTGTCATATAAAGCGTTAGCACATTGTTGCCATATGTTTTCTTAGCAGAGGAGCAGCACTGGTGTTGTGGTGGCTCTGCTTTGTCCTTGCTGGTCTTTAAACATAGTTTATATTCAGCCACTTACAGACCCTAATCTGATGGAGCACCGAGAGCATTAAGAGATATTTATATTTTCTGCGGTTTCGACTAACAGTACCTTTTTTCACCATGTGTTTCTGTGTGGTTGAAATGCTGCTATTCTTTGAGCATGAAGGGGATTTCTGGTTTAATACTGTGAGAACAAAAGGGTATTATTGTTTTTATTTCTTCATACTGTGCAGACAGGGTCTCTATTGGTCTGCTGCCTTCATCTATGTAAATATGTGCATGAAAAGAAAAGATGCTGTTCTTACACAGCATCTTATATCGAAAGAACGTTCCTGTCATGAGTTGATTCTCATCAGCACTTTCTGTTAAACTTATCATTATTTTTTCTTTCTCTTTCCTTTTGATCTTCCACCCAGTACTTTCCAGTCTTTCTGTTAAATCAAGTCAAAATTCTCTGTCTTCTTTCCACAGTTTAGAGGACCATGTCTAGGAAGTGACAGGTTAAGATGGAAGGAAAAGGTCCGTATCGCATCTATGATCCAGGTGGGAGTGAGGTCAAGGCCAGAGAAGAGGCCGCCGGGGGAGTCAGCTATCGACAGCTGCTGGAAGAGAACAGCATGCTGAGGGAGCGTATGAAGGGACTCAAGAGCTTAGGTAAGTCCCTGAATGCATCATACTTACATTGAGATTTTACAAAGTACTCAAAGACAGTTTCATTGTCAATTCGGTGGAACATACGAGTGCAGGTCATACAGTGAGTAAAGTTTTCCTTACACTCTTTACTGTAATAACAATAGCAAAATTACAGTAATTGTCAAGACACTAAAATGTGTATATGATATTGTGTAACAGCAAAATTGAAACTATTGTATTGCATATTTATCCTTTTTGCATACCATCACGAGCAAATCTCCCACACCTTTAGAATAAAAATTATAAATATGCAAAACAACAGTTTTGCCTGTGAACTTGCAGTCATTAGCATGTATTTTATGATGTATGCAAATCAGTCTGGGATTACAGTTCAACACCAGTACCAGTACAATACCACACTGCACGGTCACACCTTTTAGTATATATTTAATTGGCCTTAAAATTTGAAAAAAAGAAACCTTTTTTTTGCATTCCGAATACTGCAAAGCATCCCCCCACCAAAATGTTGCCAAAGCCTGAAGTAATTGTTTTTTGCTTATAAACAAATATTTTATTGTATTATTAATTTTTACTCGAGCTATCTCGTGTCATTTTGAAGTTAATCAGTGGATATACAGTGATCGTGAGTCTAATTTATTTTTCCTCACCACCTTTTGACCCCAAATGGCATCTTAACATTAAGGCTGTTCAAAACAACCAGAGTTTACATCAAGCCTTTTGTCCATGTAAATGAACCATGAACATGACAATAATTGTAACTATTTTTCTCCGAGAGCTTTCAGTTTTTTACACGATAAGAGAAACCTTTGATATTTTTCTTTTGTTTTGTATGCTTTATTTATTTTTCATTTTAACCATATGTGGCTTTGTTACTTTGTAAAAACAGATTGGTCGGCTAGAAAGCACAAAACTGTAAATGCACAACCAGGGAAAAACTCAGCTGTCAGTCATCATACAGTTGTAGCGTAGAACAAAGGCAACCTCCCAGATGTGAGCAGGAGGAAAGGGAAGGAAAGCAGCTAAATAGCATCACATCAAAAAGCATTTGTCATCATACGAAAGGTCAGCACCGATCACATGTAAAAAAAGAATCCAAGCACACAGAAGGGAAGGAACTGTACAGTCGATGAAGTGGAATCTGGTACAACCTGTTGATGTTCAGCACGCCACTGTTGACAAACTGCATGCCACTGGAGTGAATAGACCCAGAGCTACTTGTATGACTCAAGTCAGAGTTCATTCTAGGCGTAATTTTCTCCGTGTCGTAATTTCGCTGTGTTGATGTTTGAAGTTCCATCAGTCTCTCAGACGGTCTGTGAGACACCAGTGTGAAGAGAGCTCTCTGAAATTTGCAGGCGATTTGCTGGAAGAGTCCCAATCAGAGGCATCGAGGCTTCGACAGCGCGTGGAGGAACTGGTGAGAGATAACGAAGCCCTGAAGTCCTCCAGCTTCGCTGGCAGTCTGTGCACTGGGGGTCACATTCAGAACGACACACAAAGTAAGTTTACAGGTTCTGATGCCGTGGAGGTCATCTCGTATTTGTGGAGTACTTGAACGGCACATTTTTCCTGCTGTTGCAGGTAAACCTTGTTTACATCCCACGGCAACGCAGAAGGAGGAGCAGACTAGCTGTTTAGGGAAAACGCTGCAGTCTGAAAAGCCCAGTGTAAGTAAACTCTGCCTTTATTAATTTTTTTTTAAGATGCGGTTGATGAAAGAGAACAAATGTGTGGTGGAAACACTGTCCTTTAGTGAACGCTGTTTTTGCGTTTGGTTCTTTTGCAGGAGGTTGTACCAGAATATGAAGTTGTGAACATGGAAAAGGAGAATCCAGATCCAGTATGTATCACATGTTTTTTTCTTTTGTTAAAAAAAAAATGTGTGATGTGATTAATCACAATCACAGGGAAGGACACATTTCATATATGGATTAGCACGTTATACTATTGCACGTTTTTTTTTTTTTTTTTGTTGCTGTGATTCCGGTTGAGTTTTTTTTTCTCATGAGTTTGAAGTTTTGTGTCGGTCAGTTGACTCACCGACAAACTCAATACTGGGAGCTCCATCCTGAGTCAGACTTGGGAAAGTCCAGGATTATCAGTGAACAGAATTACACAGCTGATTCATGCACAGGCAACATGCTAGTGGATGACTGGACAGGATCCAGTGCCAAAGTATTTTAAACATCCTCATCCTGTGAGAACGAACTGACTCAAATGTCATGATTCTTTTTTTTTTTCTTTTTTTTTTAAAGCGTGTCACATGTCCAGCCTGGGCAACAACAATACTTCATAATTGTGGTATTCAAATGTGCTGTTTAGGGTTATGCACTGTCATTAATTTAAACAAAGCAGGACAAACTGGTTAAATAACAGCTGTCACATTTTCCCAGAAATTAAAAGGTGTTGCAGTCTGACTTGTAATGCCTGTAGTAGATGCGTCGTAGTTCATTCAGTTGGTGAGTCAGACGGACTGACGGTTTACCTGCGTGATCTTCTGCAGGCGGGGTCAGCGGCAGGAGCAGTCCACGAACTGGCGAGTCAGCTGAAGAAACTGGAGAGCTCCTTCAGCATATTCGCCGAGGAGTCCAATCCGAACCAGCTGTTAGCCCACCTGGCCTGCATGGCTGTGGAGTTCCACCATCTCTCCTCTAAGGTCCAAAAGAACGAACAGAGGACCTCCCTGCTTCAGGTATGCAAACAGGAGCTAAAGGAACGGAACTGAAACATCACACCTTAGATTCTATGATTTTCGGATCTTTCGTGGTATTACAGTTAAATATTGAAGATAAGGCTGTGAAATGAAGTCAAAGAACTAGTCTCTCACAGTTGTTCATCAGTCTTGGGATACCAGCACATTTTATTTTTAAATATGAAAACTTTGCATTAAAAAAAATACTAATAACAATTATAAGAATGACAAAGTCATATTTAAAATAAATTCCGAGTTTCAAGTCTTTTTACTAGTTTAAGTTCTCAGGGTTTTAAGTGTGTTTCCAAGGCATTAAAAAAATTTAGCCTCAGGCTCCAAGGTTTCAACACTCACTTAATCCGTGCAGTGATACACAACTCTTGAACTTGAGTACTGCAGCACTAGTGAATACCTGAATGTGTGCGCTTTGTTTCATAGACTCTCTGCGAGCAGCTCCGACAGGAAAACAATGAGCTTCGAAAGAAAATGGAAGAGGACCATCATATCAGAAACCGAGATCTGGAGCAACTCAGGTACAGTTTAACGGATCACTTAAAACACACCCTCAGTGTCTGAGCCGAACCAGCAGACCGTGACACAACCTTAGTGTCAACCTGCTTCCAGACTTACTCCACTATAACTTAGTAACATGTGCCATTTACATGGATAAATCATTGTCTGGCTGAAAGGAAAACATGGACCTTGTCACGTGATGTGAAGAGTGGAAAGCTGCAAAGAAAAACTTTTATCTAAAAGCCAATGTGGGACGTGCCCTCAGTGGATGTTGTGGCATCATCTGTTAATCAGGTGTTGATCTTGTCCATGTGACATTCAGGGTTGGGTTAAAATTATAATGTCTGTGCGAGTGTTGTTGTATAAATACCACTGTTCAACATAATGAAAGCATCATTTTCTGCTCTGGAATGAACCTGAAGAACCAAACTACAAACGTTGACACATCGATGCCTTGCTTTAATTCCTGCAGCAGCAGTAATGTAATTTTACCATGAATTCCTCAGTGTTTCCTGACCCTCTGAAAGTAGCTTGGGTCATTTTTGCATTTTTGATTGTACACCATGCTTTTACTTTTGATTGATGCTGGGGGAGGAGTTAGCATTTCCTGGCGTCCTTTAACCAAGTGGGTTTTATAGGGTCTTCCCAAAGGAAGCTCGGGAGAGAAGCATTATTGTTGAGGACTATCGTTTTCATTTTGTTGCTAATTTAGACAGGAGAACCAAAAACTTAAGGAGCTTGTCACAGGAGGAGCAGGAGCAGCAGCAACCACCACGACAACTGCAGCAACATCATCTTCATCTGCTGCTGCTGTAACGTCTGAGTCTGAACCTCCAGAGGCCAAGGAGCAGCCGGTGAAGGAAGAAGCTGTAGCTGTACGTCCTAAGATGGAAGCCACCACACCACAGAAGGTACATAATCATTATTATTATCATTATAAAAGCAACAAAAAAAAAAAATATATATATATATTTATTGATATGCTTAAATGAAGTGCATGTAAGTCAATGTACTATATATTTATTGATTCTTTGGCTAGGATAATGGAGACAATAACTGTGTACTATTTATCTACAATATATATAAATATATGTGTATATATATATGTAAATATATAAATATATATACAGTCCAACTAGAGTTTATTATGAGTCCATATATACATTCATTATTTGTATAAGTATGCTGATATGTATTTATATGTAATATACATGTGTAAATATATAATAATGTATATACACGTGTGTTTATATATTTTGTCTGTACTCAAACAGTATATAAGTGTATTATATACAGTATATATGTATACATTTTACATATGTTTAGTAATTCAAAATGTTCACAGAGTGGAAAAGCTACGGAGAAAACTGCAAATAAATCTTGTGATGTGGAGGTTTATGAAAAGAAGATCAGGCTTTTGGAGAAGCAGCGAAAGGACGTGAGTCTCGTACAAATTTACGGCTCATCCTCTTTTGCCATAAGGGAAAGTCTGTGTGTGTGTGTTCAGTTTCCTATATGTTGACTTGTCATTTGTTTCACTTCCTGGTTCGGCTTACAGGTACTGGAGGTGAACAAGCAGTGGGACATTCAGTGGAACGCCATGAAGTCACAGTTTGAGCAGAAGGTACAATAATGACTTGACAGCTTCTATGAGCCGAGTGGGAAGACCCAGAAGTTTTTAGGACTGATTTTAGAACTGTCAAAGGAGAAGTAATAACTAATTCTCTCCAGATTCCTTTTTAACTGTGTGAATATGTGTCATTCAAAGTGAAAACAGTCTTGTTCCATTTTGTTAAAAAAAAAACAAAACGCCATTGCAGTTCAGTTTTGACTTGGTATTTTTGTGTCACTTTTCTCGACGGGTAACTTTTTTAATACATTACCTTTATTTAATTGGCACATTATACAGGTTATACTTTTACGAAACATTCATTTTTAAAAAAAATGAAATGTTTCTTCAACTGATTTTTATATATACACATATATACGTGTGTATATATATATATATACATATATATGCATTTATTTATATATACTTACTATACTATAACTGTTTCAGTAAGTATTTCTTAAAACAGCAAAAAGTGTTCTTACCAACTTCATTGTAAAAATGCTTTTGAAATTATTTAAAAAATAAGAGTAATGCATAACGATATCCATTTCAAAAATGTACTTTGATAGAAACAAAAAAATATATATATATTGCAATAAATCTCACAAACTAAGTAATAGTTAAGAGGAGGTTGTTAAATAGTTTTAAATGTATCTCATTCGACTGTACAAGTATAGATGAGATTTTGTAATTTTGGAAATATGTTGAAGCAACACAGACCTGATATTTTTGGCTGATTTTGGCATTGAAACAGCTGCGTGTGTGTGAGTGAGTGAGTGCTTGTGTGCGCTCTTAGTCTTTGTGCTTGTCCAGTGGAAAATCTTGCAATTGCTCGGTATCTGAGCGAACACAACCACAAGGCCGTCACACTTCACTGAGAATTCCCCTTACCTCCTGTGGTACCCACTGACTTCCTGCTGTAGTGCAGTTAAAGGGCAGCAAAGACACAAATGTACACACAGACTCACACACCTACGCTTGTGCAAACCCACGGTTATGAACAAACCTACATTCACACTGTAGAGACAGAAACACAATGCAACTTAGAGTTGGAACCGCAAAAACCTAGATATATCCATTTGCGTCACTAGGTTTGTTCATATTAAATACAAAAAGCACACTGTGTGTTTGCAAGTATGTTCTGGTTGCCATAGTTTAGGTTAGAATGTTGACAAACACCTTTTGCTGTCTTATGTCGCACGCATCGGCTTACGTTTGTCTCAAGCACGGTGGGTTGACCACTGTCACAGTGACAGAGTGCACGTTATCGTTTTGTTTTGATCGAGTTAACACTTCCCTTTCCTAAATGTTGTTTGTAGATCACAGATCTTAGACAACGACTGGCTGAGTCACAGAAAACTGTGCTCGAGCTGGAGGCAGAGCGGGAGCAGAGGCAGCGCGACTACGACAAGAAGTTGCTTCTTGCCAAGTCTAAAATTGACAACGTGCAGGTGAGAGTAAAAGTCCGCAAAACAATAACACAATTTGTGCAAATAAAAGCTCTGGGAATGAGAGTGAGGCTGGTGGAGCCACGAGGGTGCAAAGATTTTGAAGTAGTACTTGTAGATAAGGTTAAAAATAGCAAGCTAGAAAAATGTTGGGAGTGACAGAAAAATACAAAAGGGTGGTGCCAGAGGTGTACAAAAGAAAGGATCAAAAGTGGTCACATTTTTGCATGTAACACAATATGGTTCAATACTAGTAATATGACTACTGAGAAGTCTGGTCCTACAGATTTCAGCTAAAATAGAATGACATTTAAAAGTTTGTCAAATATTTGACTTTTCTGAGCTGACCCTAAGGATGAAGATAAATACAAATGCTTCTTTGAGTGTGTTCAAATCTTGGTGTGTGTGCGTGTGTCTTAGGGGGAGAAGGAATGTCTCAACTCGGAAACCACTGAGCTAAAGGAGAAGATTCGCTACCTGCAGGATCAGCTGCTGCCTCTCAGCAAACAGAGAGAGTACCAGGAGAAGGAGATCCAGCGTCTCAATAGGGTGAGGAGGGGGAGTGAGGGAATGATCGAGGACTTTTCTTTTTAACTGTTGTTAACTTTTATTATCATTATTCTTCCTTATACTCTGTTTGTGTTGTCAGGCTTTAGAGGACGCACTGAACCTGCACACCCCGTCATCCTCTCAACAGCCACCAGGGCAGGCCAACTTTGCAGACGCAGCCAACAACCTTAAGAAACAAGAACTGCTCACTCAGATTGCTGTTCTAAAAGAACAGGTTAGACGGGGCAGCCAACACGTGCAGAGATGTTCACGTTCACTGCACAGTTTAGGTAACCGCTGTTTTTCTACTCAAGGTCAAGATCTTTGAAGAAGACTTCAGGAAAGAGCGCAGTGACAGAGAGCGAATGAATGAGGAAAAGGAAGATCTGAGACGACAAGTGGAGAGACTTCAGGGTCAGATTACTAATTTGACCAACCAGGTAAAACATTATGTGGATTTAAAGTCTTTTCCTTTTACAAAAACACAATGAAGTTTAAACAAATCTAGGAAGAATTGTTTTGTGGTATTGAAGACCATGAAAAACATTTGTTTTTTTGCTAAAAGGTTAACTTAAGAAATGACATTTTTAATTTTCACACTCAATGGTCATAGATTTGTCACAAAACCTCCTTCATTAACTGTTTTCTATAGACCAAAGTCAGTGTTTTAAACTTCAATGAAAAATGACAATGACAATAGTTGTGATGTGTTGGTGACATTTTTGTTTTTTCTGAAGCTCCATCAGGCACAGAACGAGTGTCAGAGAGAACGCACAGAGAGGTGTAAGCTGGAGAGACTGCAGATGCATCACAAACAGGTACTGGTTCTACCTCAGACCAGTGTCTGGGTCTTCTGTCCACATGTTTGTGTTGTTAAATGTTTAGTAAACGTTGGTTGTAGAGAAGTGTGGATGTAGATGTGGGGGCCAAGGTGGTAACTGAGGGTTTAGGCATGTGAACCTGGGGTGAGTTGTGGTAAAAAGAGGAGACTAGCACCCCCTTGTGACCAAACACTGTCACCTACATGGTGACTGGATACAGTTGTGAAGAGAGAAACAATGACAAGAGCCTGATTTCATCTAAACTGTGTAAGTGTATTTGGGGGCAGTGGGTGAAGAAGTGGCCTGTGCCACAGCGCCCCCTGACAGTCGTGGTAGCAGCACACCGATCATGGGGATCACGTGTGTACTTACAGTATGATCCCTCGTAGGGCCAGCAGCAGAAAAGACGTACCTCAGACCCCACGTCAGGCTCAGTGAACGGCCCGCTGAGCCCTCCCTACTGTGGTCCCTTTGTGCAGGTGGGACCGCAGGGCCTTGACGGCTGGCCTGTTTATTTTCCTCCCCGGATACCTAATGCAGGAGGCGCCACAGCAGCACCGCCCCATGTCCGAGACTTCCAGCTTGGTGCCCCGGTAAGGGTCCTCTAAGACCCCCTGTCTCTGTCACTCTTGCCTCTGGAGTGACTCCTGTTTACTGAGAAAACCAGGCTCTTCTTTTTCCCCCTCTCTTACTCAGAACTCCTCTGTTCCATTAAAGGAACCAGCAGGTTTACTACAGTTTGTCCTATTCTGTCCACTCTTACTGTCAGTACTCTGAGCTTACAGCAGGGTTAGGGCTGTTGGGTTATAACAACTGTAGGAATGTTCTGCCCTTGCACTAAGACTTTCCTCTGTTGGTCAGGGTTTTCCTTGGCCATCATCATTCCCACATCCCAGAGGGACCAGAGCGGTTGGAGAGAGTTCAAGACCACCACCAGAGAATGCAGGTATGGTACTGCAACCAAAGTGTATATGGTCCTGAAGTAGTCCTGTCAAAACACGAAACACCTCAAATTGAATTAATTGGTAAAAAGATATTTGGTTGTATTCAGGTATGTCCGATAATATATAAAACCTGATAACGCAATTCCTGGGTTTGACCAAATATGCTGGAATTGCTTGTAGCATCCCGAGACCTGAGTTTACCTCATTTTTGGGGGGCAAAAACAGCTGCATGTAGTGGTATAGGTTGATATCTGAATTGGAAATTGTTTAGACATATCGGATATCGGCAAAACGTTTATATCACTAGTTCTATTCTGAATATTTTTTTGCAAGTTTGGAGACCACTGCTTTGTATAAAAGAAGTTCAAAGATCGTTTATATCACTAGTTCTATTCTGAATATTTTTTCGCAAGTTTGGAGACCCCTGCTTTGTATAAAAGAAGTTCAAAGATATTTAAAAATAAAACCTTTTTCAGGGTGGTGTTAACTTTGTCTCCAGCTGTAGTATGTGAAGCCTGTGTGCTGAGGGTGTTGGCAGCTGACCGTCACATGCTGCCCACTGTCTGAGTCTGTGCTGGTTAATCTAATCTTGGAATCTTGTTGCCTCTACTTAAAAAAAAAAAGCATAATGGCCCAGGATAATATGTTTTGTTTGATTTATTTGAAAAGTATTACATACCGGTTGTTAAAAGTACAGGCAGCTACTTTGTGCCTGCAGTAATCTGTTTTCCCCTGTTGTTCCTCACAGACCAGACCGCGGCGGCGGCGGGCGGC